CAGAGACGTATGTATGAAGTCGTGGCGAGTGTGAGGCGACTTGTGTCCAGTGAGCAAATTTGCATCTCTCGACGTCGCTCCGATCCATTGGTTTCTCGTTGGCGCTCGCGTCACCGAAAACTTCGGAATCGAAATCTAGTCAACCCAATAACGGGGTTTATGGCCTAGTCATAAAACTCCACGTTCATTTTTTCTCCCTGGCCGCAGCCTAGTGCATGCTCCCTCTCGGCCGCCGTAAGCAGCGGTGCTCGGAAACGCTGTCTGTTGCCGTTGCGGAGACATGGGTCGGAGAGAAAATAATCACACGGTTCACAGGAGGCTCCTAGATTATAATTCTATGTTCCGGAAAGCCTTGTTGTGATGAGTTTCGTGTCGCATGGGGCCGTCAGCCTCGATGTATGCACCCATCGCGAGCGTTCAATGACATTTCAATCACTGAGCCTTTTCGTGACCCTCGATTATGTCATTTGCGGTTTGATTCTCCGCTCTGGATCGAGCTCAACGATCCCTTCTGCGATCGTCTTCTGCGCAATCCGTAGATCTGCGATGAGAGACACCGTATCGCCTGCGAGAATATCCGATTGTTCGAGCAAGGAGGAAGCAGTACCGAGAACATGCATTCACGGAATATCCTTCACACTAATCAACCGAGGACAGACACCGATGGAAGTGCGATGTCCTCCCTTGTGAGAGGACATCGCATGACTCCCGGGTGAATGGAGGCATTTTGATGGCTCCGGTCGAGACCTGAGACGACAAGACGGTACCGTCGTCATTTTTTGCTAGTTGCGCCATCGTCACCATTGCCGTAACCCGGAGAATCAATAAAACGGATTCTGAATGGTCTCTGTTGAGACCCGGAGAGGTAGCTCTGTCAGTGATAGCGGCTCTTCCCCGAACGTTTTCCTCAGTGATTGTGACGAAGATGGCGGCGTCGGCGGCCCCAACCGACTCGTGGTGTGATGGTGACCTTTTTCCTTTTCTCATTGTCCCAAGTGAAGACCGCTTCTCTTCGCTTCGGAAGTTCGCGTAACTCGCGTAACGCTTTAGCGCCTCTCGCAGAACTTTCTTTGTGTGATCGTCGCTCCGGTGTGTCCTTCGGCTTTCAGGAGCATTTTCGGAGCCGAGGAATTTTCACCGTGGTTTCCCCACAGGAGGGCAGCGACCACTGCGAGAATTCGGGAGCCTTCTCCGAATCTATCGATTCTCGTATCCATGAGTCGCGGAAGATCGGCCGCATGCTACGCATAGCGATGCTCCGCAGCCCAGACAGATGGGTTCGCGCATTACTGTCCGCGATGGGGTCGGCCGTTCATCCGTGGAGTATCTAACGGTGAAGCCCGTTAGAGACACGACACAGAAGTTGCAGCTCTATATTAATACACAGCTGGTCGGGCTGCTACCGCAGAAGATGCGAACAGTGAAAGAAACGTGCTTCTGATGGTAAAGCCTACCGTAACAACAGCAACAACAGCAGAAGCGGCAGCAAGGCAACAGACAGCAGAAGAAAAGGAACGACGATGTCTCCGGGTACCTGTCACGCGATTGGATTGGTGCCGTTGGCGTCAGGGTGTCGGTGGCGGCGGCGTGGTCATCGGCGGTGATATTTGAGCAATTACTGCGCTCATGAAATGTTACAAGACGATCCCGATATCCGATCCAGCCATTCAGAGAGATAGATCTGTCCGACGCTGTTGACGGATCGTGCCTGCGGTTGCTGCAGCATCGAGCTGTAAAATTCCGAAGACGCTTCTACCGCAGCCGCCACCACTGCCGAATCATCAGACTCAGGTCACCTCACACGAACTTTCCGGGTCCAATTAACTTGGATAAGGCGGGAAAAAAACCATGTCTCCGAAAAGGGGTTCACATCCTGGGAGTCGTTCCATGGAACTCCAGGTGTACACTTCGCTAATATTCATGGGAGTTCCATTTTGGCTCTCCTGAAAAAGAGAGTCTTGGACTCGCTCGAGATGACGGATATTCGGGGATGGTTGTGAGCGAGGAGGCCGCTCGTAGCGGGACACTCACTCAGGGGAATATCCGAAGATGCATATCATACATATCATCCAACATAGATGGAGGAGCGGAGAGAATTGACGATCTCATAACAACAGCAACGAGATCATTTGCATTTGCGGAATGTCGGACGCGCGCACGACTTGTTCGATCATCGTCGCCGTCGTCGCTCGCTGGATCGCCTGTTCGGTTTCTCGTTCTTCGTCGGATTCCATCATTGGCGTCTTCGCCGTCGATGCCTCCTCCGATGGCAGCTCTCCCCCTTCGTCTTCGCTCGTAAAGGTCAACTCTTTCTGAAACAATCACGAGGAGCTAATGTGATCGGGCACACGTCACAGGTGGGCTGTCCGCGCTCACCTGGCGTTATCAGCACGAGTAATGATTCCCTTGATCCTCTTCGAAGATTCCGTCCTCGGGAAGACTCAGACGAAGCTGCTGACTCTGCCGACGATTGACCGTCTAATGAATGATCGTTTCTCATGCCCTCCTCTCTTCCTCGGCTTCAACCAGAACTTGTAACTGATCTGAAAGTGCCGTGCATTTCCACGCTCGACTTTATGGGACCAATCAATCATTTGACGAGGTATTCCGATGCATTCCTCACCGGCAAATGCAGGCAATCCCTCCGATCTGGTCGCCTACTGTTCAGACAGCGTCGTTGACTACTTTGTATCAATGTGCGCTTTAGCAGAGCATTCGCCCAGAAATCCGTCCGCTCGTCAGGGAAAAAAATTTCGACCCCGTTACTCGATTGACAACGCTCCGGTAGCAGCGTTCGGGAACCTGATGGCGAGGATCCAGGGATACTTGGCCGCGGTGACTGGCCGGCTCTTCTGTCGGAGCGGGAATCACTGAGAACCACGGCGACTCCGTTCAACTCACTCAAGTCAGAGAAACGTTTCTACGGTAGCGTTCAGCGTGGGAACGCTGATTAAATGTCTGAACCGATGAGAACCCCGATAGATAGTGCGTGAGTAGATCCGTGCGTCATCTCGAACACAGTCATTACGCATTCACGCGCGTCTCTCTGCTCGTTAATGTGTAATCGCAGCGTATCTAATTTGTCGACGGCGATGTTGCCCTCCCTGCCGCTGCCCGAGTTTGTGCGTTTCCCTGTGTCTGAGTGTGAGAATTTGTAAGCGTGGCAGCATAAAAAACGCGAAGAATGACGTCGACAGCACACATTTCGGGCATGGATGGAGCCCGTCACAGTCTGGAAGAAAAATTCTAACCATATCGCCGAAACGAAGCTTTTGTGTCGCTTGTCTCTCCTCACTGTGTTTGTGTGAGCGACGAAAGCAGAGCGACACGAGACAAGAACTTCAGTCGGGCGAGGCAGTGTCGCTCCAGTGTCCATCTGCTTGCTCGACACCTGCAAGCATTTACGATCTGAGGTCGTTGCGCTTCCACACTTTGACGCGGACAAGGTGCCGGAATAATGGGACACAATAATTAGAGCTGCGGTCTCCTCGTGGTACCGCCGATCCCTTGATTTTCTCGGCGCAGGCCAAGCTTGTGCGCAATCTCTAAGGCTGAAATATCGTACGCTGGCTCACGAAAAACCGAAAAATTCGTTGCGCCCAACCGCCAAGACAAACGTTCGAGCGGAGATACGAATTTATGCAGATTTTATGCGTAACTCCGTCATCATTCGGTGTTTTGTGCTCCTGTGAGCAAGCTCCCAGTGTCGATCTCTCACTCCCTAACTCACTCACCCCTCCACTCACTCGCAGTGGTAGGTCTCTTGGAGTGCTCTGAAAGGGCTTAAGTTGATGGAAGAATGAATTTAGACCGCAACTCGCTAGACACCTCGCTCGTGCGAGCGTTGCGCACACACAAACACAATGTCTCGATCTAGGTTGGACACGACTCATTCTCAGAAGCGGCAGCGACGTACTGACCGCGCTGTCGGAGTTACGACCGTCTTGTCCGATGAACGGGCTCTCGGACAGAATTGCGAAAAAGTGATTTTTAATGGGCCCCCTAGCTGTATGCATTCAACAGTATCCCTGCGATCCTCCCTACCGAGATAGAAACCATAAGCCGGGACAAAACTCCCATTAGCAATGTCATGAGTCGGTTAGATCGACTCAAGGGGGTGATTAGGTATTTGAGCGGTCGTTTTCGTCATCTAATCGAATCTCGACAGGGGGAAACAACAATGAAATCTTGCGGGAGCAGCCATCGCATTGCTCTCTTTTCATTCATGCCGGGGTCTGATCCGTAAGTAGGGGAATAATGACGGCCCCTATATCGAGCGTAAAAGTTCAGATCCGGAGACTCATTGCTCCGCGAATAGACAAGCGATCGTTAGAGTTGAATTGATTCAATTCGTTCAGGTGAAGCGAAATTCTGGTTGAAGCAAAAATTTGCTCTAGATGAGTGCAAATGCAAACGTTCGTGACGCTCAAGAATCAACTCGGACCACCATCACAGATGCAGGTCGTTATAGAGCGTCATCGTTTTGTTCCTCGCGCTGTTACACGCCGATTTCTTCTGTGCTTGTTGTGCCTAATATGCATACTTCGGAAGTTTCTTGACGCTGCTGATTTCTCTTCCAACGACGCTCTTCCAACTCTTATCCGCCCCGATCTTTCTACCTCGCTCCGAGTCGTGTCGCTCGGTCAGTCAATCATAGTCTGCCCAGGGCGACGAGCACGTCTAGAAACCTGCGCATATCGCTTCGGATCTTTGAGAATTCCGTGCTCACTTCCCGCGAGTCAGAGTCGGAAGAATCAGAGCGAGTGTCCCGCGTCCCGCCACACGGCATTCACAGCCACCAATCCGCCTCTCTAGCTCGGTGAGCGCACTGAGGAATCTCTCGAATTCCACGTTCCCGATGTCGGCGTGAATATCCAACACTTGCGCCGAATGGGTCATTGTCGCCCAAGTTCAAAGCCATCGATGGAAACAAAATCTGTAATGCGTGGCTTTTGCATCGAATGAGGTTTTCCTCAAAGCTCTACAGACAGACGTTCGAGATGACGTTCCTCTCCTGCATCTGTCGGGTCGAATATCTCGAAGGAAATACGAGATACAAGTCACAAACCGGTGGGCGATCGGGAAGCCCAGGGAGCGCTAAGAGCGTGTTTCATACGATCAAATCGTAAAAGCGTCTGGTCGTAAACAAAACTGGAAGTGGCCACGATGCAGGTCGTCATGCAGGCACGCGGACAAGCTTGCTGCCGGAGCCGTGGAGGTCTCGTCGTCAGAACTTCATTAAATTACCAGCTCAGCGTCTGAATCGTGTTATGTCAGTGGCGGACCGGACGGATGAACGGATCGAGTGTCGAGCGATAATTCTTCCCTCATCCGCTGTGTTTTTCGCCTTTTTTCGTCGACTTGACTTTCCTCGATACCACATGCATCGAGACGTTACGGTGATCAATCTAACCGTCACACTCACATAACTAGATGGGTTCAAGAGCTCGCGTCGCACCTGTGCGCGGAGCTTGGGTCATCTGGTCATCATTGCGATGGAAACATCAAATCTGCCGGAATAGAAACGTCTGCTTTATTCGACGCTAATTATTTTCCTCCGGGCTTCTGAATCACTCGGAGCGGCAAGCACGGTCCAAATGACCAGCAGCTTCTTAATTGAATCTGCGGTACCGCGAGCTAATTTCCATGAGAGTGGACATCGTCACTCGTATGATAACTTCGTTCCACGTCGCTGTTTCCCTTAGGTTCATTTCCAGCACGAGTTTGTTTGTGTGTGAGTGCATGTGTATATGTTGATCAACTTTCAAACGTTCTTGGAGAATAGGAATCACAGAAGGAAAAGTAATAGCAACTAAGACATTGTTCCTCCTCTTTTCAGTTTGCCCCTCGGGCAGCCCGAGCTTCGAACTGACGGCTGGCTATGTCTACACATCGCCAACCGAAACGATTGAGCTGAAAGCCGGAGTTCTCCAGCTGAAACAATGTCTCCAGATGTGCCGTGAGAACGAAGATTGCAAATCCGTGAACTTCGAGACCGGACTTTGCGTTCTGTTCTCATCGTCGGCTTCTCAACGACCTCAATCCCTCTCCCCATCGCAGTTCCCTGTGTTCACGATCTACGCCGAGAAAGTCTGCATCCGAGGTGAGTTGATTTCCAGAATCAGACCGCAGGCTATCGCGTCCACGATCGAACCTTGACCATGACCATCAGAAGGATCACGGTCAAGAGCGATCTATGACGCGGGGAGCCCAAACCGCCAGCGTGGCGCCGACTCTTAGTTTCAATCCATCTCCTGCTTCCGACTGACTGAGTGAAATTCGTGATGGCAAAGCGGCAGCATTCACAGTCTGCCTGTCGCACAGCTCGACAGCTCTGTGGGCTCCGAGGTGCTCTCATCATGGGTCACTTCACCCTTTTCCTCCCGACGCGCCACAATCTGGAAGGCAAGCGCGGGATCGCCGAAAATACCGAAGTTTCGCTCACGGCAGCGGATACGATGTTTCCCCGACGGCGGCATAAGCCTCTGATTCGAATGAGTGCGAAATACGGAAAATGAAGCCAGAACAACGAGTTTCGCCGCCGCCGCGGCGGCGTCAGCAACGGTGTCGGGTGACGACGCATGCAACTGCTGTGGTCCCTCTTTTTTCGTTTGGATCCAATCAAGAACAAGATGGACGGCGACAGAACGAGGCGTATTATCACACATTATTATCTCGTTTTCGTGGTGGGTGTCTTAAACGATGCCGCGCCGTTCTATTCCTTCCGACTCGTTACGGAGTTCTGCAAGTCCACTCCACCACTCACCGAACATCCAACGAGCCGTCAGGATATCATCAGGGATCCGGCTTGATTCTTGTTCCACGCCCGTCTTCCATTCATTTCGCTTTGCTGGTCCCTCCGAACGTAGTTTTCGTTCCGAGCGCTTACGCGAATCAGGCGAGATTGTTCCATCGATCTGGCGATGCTCGGATAATCCTCATTCAGGCTGCGATCGATCAAGCGCTCTGGGAGAATGCGGTGCTTCATAAATCTCCATAGAGTCTTTGGATTCTGAAAACAGTCGATCGCAGTTTTCCGGTTGGCCGCACGGAGGATTTGGCTTGTCATCGTGTGCATTGCATTTCTCGATGGAATCGATCAGTCAAGCCATCGAATTGTGCGAAAGGGCAGGAGTGACCACCGGAGTCTTGTACCGAGTGCAAATGACTTGGGGTCGGCACGGGGACCAGCAGTGGCACAATCGAGCACTTCGTACCAAGATGCAGAAGGACAAACAGGACACGCGCTCGACACGCGAATACGAAGTAACTCACAAACAATGCTGGCGGAGATCATACGGGTAATTGATGGGGAACTCAAATTGTCATCAGAGCCGCTACCACGCTCTACAGCTTCCACTCTCAAAGACAGCAGCAGCAAATCATTTTTGAATTGTTCTCGACTCGGTGGGGTGCATGGCAAATGAATTAATAAGGGTAGCCGGCCGGCCCATACAAAATAAAGAATAAAACGTAAGAGAGGCCGCTGACAGACGAACAAACATACATACGGAAAACAGAAAATATAACAAGCCGAGAGAGATGCTCCATCTTTGAAGATCCGTAATCAAGCTGGACCAGGGTTCGGAGAAAATCTTGGAAGAATTTCCGCTGCCCGAAAGTCACGATCCCGAGATCGGCATTATTCTTCTCGAAAACAAACTGGTCGACGTGAATTTCTCTCCAAGAAGTGGATTGCTCTAATTCGAGTAATAATTCCAGTTCCTCGCGAAGAATCTGCCTGAGAATTTCGAATGTGTCCTCACTCTGACGCTAACATGGAACGCTTCTTCCACCGAATATTTTCTTCCGCCGCCACTTAGAATGTCTACGATCAGTAATTTTCCTCGCATTGTATATAAGTCACCGTAATTGTGGGGCCACCTCAGTCGGCCGCCTCGCGGCCGGCTTCAATCTATCGGACGCGTGATGCCGGGGAGTTCATATGAAGCGAGGAACACACCTCTGAGCATGAATCATTTTTGTCCTATACAAGGGACGAATCAGGAAATCGGTCCCCCTCTCCCGCAAACGTGAAGAATCCGCTCCGAGATGTCAGGTACGAGATCTCCCCGAGATGTGGAGATCGTTGGTGGCGGAAGATTTGAAAGCAACCCTCTGAATCCACATGGCATTGAATTGTGTTCTCGGATCCACTCGGGTCTTCGAAGGAAAAAAAATTGTACCTCAATTGTTCTTCAATCGAGACAAGACCCGATGAAATGACTGGGAGAGCGTCGAAAGGGACCTGAATGTTCAGGAATGTTTGTGAAGTTCGACGCGTTCAGTTGATTGGCTTGATACGTTTCCCGACTCCTTGTCCACTTGCTGGACGCTCAATCGCTCGACTGGTTGGTTGACCTCAGTCAGGGCCCGTCAAATGACGTTTTCATCGGACGCTCGGAATGCACGAGGGGTAGGTGATCGTGTGCGGAATCATTTTAAGTTTTGTTTTCTTAAACAAGTGGACTTGGCAACTGGCGACCAGTTGGTCAACGATTGGTCAGTCGTCGGTTTGTGCGTTCGTCCGTTCGTCCTCCCGTCAATCGGTACACGCGTCCGGCCTGGTCGAATCAACCCACAGAGTGAGGAAAAAACGGGAACCAACATCGACCACGGTCGGATTGAGCGCCAACCAGTCAGGTGGCCAACAATCCAGTCAGGAGACAGCATCTGTCGAAAGGGCGATCGGGGAATAGACGACATTGATGCCGACCTGGAACGCAATTTGGGCGTCACATCTTTTTCGTCTCCTTTCTGCCAATCACCCTGTTCTATTTAGCAGCCGACATCAGCTGCTACTGCTGCTTCTGTAAGCGCGATCGGTACAGCAGTTCGACTCGGTCAGTGTGAGTGAGCTCGAGCTGATTCGGCTGGGGTTGGGGACCGGGGGTGGTGGGCTAATTCTTCCTGAAGATATTTTGAAGCGAAATCCGTCCGAAAAGAATCAGCTCTCCCCGGACCAGTCGGAAATTTAGTGTGAGAACATTACGAACGAGATGCCCATCGGTGGTCAAGCAGACGTTATTGTCCAGCTCTTGTCGTCGTGGAGACGTCTCTCTCGCTTTAGGTTAATTGGATCCGGACCCACTCGTCGGCCGGGCTACATAGTCGGAGACAATGATGAAAATGCAACAAACAGCGCGATACAATCGTTCGTGTTCAACATTCATTGACGTTTCTGTTTGCTTATGGTCGGTTTTGAGAGCCTGTTATCTGTGGCGGTGCGGTCTGTTGCTTTGCGCCGCGCGTTCGTCCGTATTCATTCGGGACACGGCTCTAAGAGAGTGATACTCGTGTCTCGTCGCGTTCATCCGGAGTCGAATACGAGCTCATGTTCACTAAAGGTGCAGGAGTTCTACCGGCGACGGACTGGTCGACTATCTCGGCGACTAATGATACCGTTAATGATTCTCTGAGGTCGTTTGCTCGCCGTGTCCGTCAACTCATCCTGTATTGTGACCGGCCGCAGTTTCCCCGAAGATCGTCGTGACATTCGACTCGGGACACCCTCGCTTGCGGAGTCGACGTTACCGTCTTGGTCGTCGCCGCCGTTGTTGTCGACGTTGTGCAGAAGTCCGAGTAATTCCTGCTGAAAGCCAGCTTATGTAATTATGACGGATGCCGAGAGCTTGTTAAGCAGACAAAAACTAGCACCGCTCGTTGCGACCGTCACTCGGTGCCGCTGTTGACGATGTCGTCTTCGGCCAGTCCGGTGGAGCCGCTGACAGCCGCCTGCTCTTCAGAATTCCTCAGATCACGGGTGTTCTTAATTTGACAATAGGCCGTCTCAGGCGGTGGTCCGTTGTTCCTGCTTAAACGACAAGAGCGGAAAACTCTAAAACGAATCTAAGAACAATTAGGCGACTCCAATCCGTCCGATTCGCCATTTGCGCAATCCTGACAGCTACAACAACTACTGCAACGGTGGGAGCAGCGGCGGCGATGATTGCCACCGGAGGCAACATCTGGACAAGCGACAATCACAAACGACCCTAGAAGCCGTTGTCCCGTGAACTCGTCGACGTCGTCCTCTTCGCTGTCGTCGAGGCGACTTATAGGCTGACGACGCTCATGATCGTTTGATGGTGCGATGAGTGACTACGACCGAGCTTGATCATTTCTATTAAATGCCAGCTGTTGTCCCAACAATCGGAAGAAGTCGTCCAACAATGTCGTTCGGTGACTCGATTGGATCTTCGTGAGATCCGGCGCTCTCGGACAATTGGGAGTCCGGCATGGCATCGGGCGACCGCTGAGGAATAATCACCCGGTGCCGGGTGTGACTTCGGCGCTGACCGCATGTCTCGCCGAGACGTCTCAATCGAAGACTCTCCTGAGAGAAAGCGATCGATCGATCGCTTGTCCGATTGATTGCCCGCTCGCTCGCTCGATTGATTGCGGAATCCCTCAGTAATCGATTCAATCGAAAGCTGGAATCCCACACTGTGATGGAGCCGATTACTTACCGGGCAGGGTTTTTCGAGGGATGGCGCCCGCCTCCGGAGTACTCGGGCTCTTCGTTCTCTGCTCTGCGGCATCGCAAAGAATAGTAGCTATCGCATGAAGTCATTCTATTTGCTTTTCGACGAAGATGTAATTCGGAAGCGCTCGCGCGGATTCTCCGCTCGTGAAGAATTCCCAGATGTCCGAATCGTAGGCACAAATAGAAGCAGATATCGAATATCGGATTGATAGATCTCCACGAGTTTGTCGAACCCGTAAGATGGATTCCACCGCTCTCGATTGCTGAACGGAAAGTATTTAAATTGAGATCTATTTGCATCGATCATCTACCGTTGGCCGAGCCGGCGGCGGGCATCTCGAACTCCGTCTATCTACTCGGGTCTCCTCACACGAATCGGACATTAATCATTGGCTCTGCGGAATAGCCAACGTCTGTGTTTCTCTATTTCGCGTTTATTGTCAATCGCAATTGCTCGCGAAGAAGGAGCCTCTTATCGACGAATGGGATGCCCACAAGCCTTCCGCTGGTCGAGGACGACTCGGATGTGGGATCGTATCGAGATTCAAAGCTTCTTCGACACTTCTCATTTTAAGCACAAATGGATCCGTAATTACCCAGCTCCGTCGTTCGCTCGT